TGTCGGAGAATAACTTGACGCCCACCAGTCTTGTATACAGATCGATCATATTGCGATAAATTACCGATGGAGAGGCGGTGTCCAGAACTGTCGCTAGATTTGGAGCACATGTGGACACTGACCATGTACTTGTATGTGCTGATTTGCGGGTTCGCTTTGGCGGACGCTTACGATGACCCTTTGAGTGCATTAACACCAACCAGCTGGCGAAGCCAGATGTTCTGAACGCGTCTAGAAGTTCGCTTACATTCGAGTTGAGTAATCGCTCGCTGGATACAGTTGAAGCTCATTGGTCTCATATTCACCAGACCTTAGTAGCAGCAGGCAAATCCTCATATGGTAAGTCTAATCGCCAACATGGACATTGGGTCTCTTCGCAGTCTCTGGAACTTAGTGATACTCATCGGCACATTCCGGCTGGAACCGAACACAACAAGGCTCGCAAAGACCTCTGGGCAAAACTCCGTGCTAGCCTGATGAGAGACCACGAATCTTGGTGCTCATCGTGCGTGGGAGATGGAAGTGGCTGCTGCCCTTGGTAAACATCGGAAGTTATTCCGGTTGAAACGGGAAACGGGCAGCAGGAGACCTAGTGTTAGTGAAGCTATGCGACGACAGTGGACAGCCTATCTACAACCTGTCAAAACGCTTGGAGCGTTGGGCTGAGCACTTTCAAAGGCAATGTAATCGGTCGGAATTGTTAGATTTCTCGCCGGCCACTGATCGCCCCGCTCCCTGGGCTGTCCCTTTGGATCCACGTTCTCGCTCAGAAGTCGAATGTGAGATCGGACTGTAGAAGGTAAATAAAGCTGCGGGACCAGATGATCTTCCTCCAGCCCTCTACAAATTCGGGTACCTGGTCTGGTGGATGATTTATGCGAGTTACTAGTGAAACTGTGGGAGCAGGAAACTGTCCGAACCGATTGGTGCCGCTCCGTCATGGTCTTAATTTTAAGGGCGGCTCACGATGGGAATACGTTAACCATAGAGGATCCAGTTTGATCTCCATCGCCTCCGAATTGTTTGCCTCTGTCATCCTTCACAAACTTGTGGAAGCCAGATTCGTGATGAGCAAGCCGGTTTCGCCGAGGTCAGGGCTGTATTGGCTACATATTCACTTTGCGTCAGTTGTTGGTGCACCGTCACATATTGTTGCCCACCGTTTTCTTTCTCCTAGACATAAAATTTACCTTCGATTAGGTTGATGGATGTGTCTTTTACGACTGTCTACTCAGGAAAGGTGTACCTGAGAATTATGTAAATATTATCCGAACATCATACGATCGTAGTGTGCGCCGCCCTATCAACATGTCCAGCGGTATAAGGCAAAGATGCCCACTGTCACCTTTCTTCTTCCACCTCGCTAATGATGAAGTCATGGAGATTGCATTTACAGGACACGATTTAGAAGGTGTGGAGCTGCTCCCCGGCGAACGACTTCTTGAGTTGGAGTATGCTGACGATATGGCCCTCATCTGTGCAGCTCACACACGTGGCAAGTGACACTGGACAGACTAGCACTGGCTGTCAGGCGCTTCAGGCTTTGCTTTGCACCTTGGAAGTGCAAAGCTTTCCTCTAAGGCTGGCATGGACCCACCTCTGAGATGACGCTTTGTGGGGATCAGCTAGAAGTCGTACGAAATTCAACTATCTTGACAGTTGTATCAGCCGCTGTAGCATTGTAGACGAGATCACAAACCGTATAGCAAACGCTCGAGGCGCTTTTGATAACCTTCGCCATTTATGGCGCCGGCGCGACATCGCTCTCGTCCTGAAGGGTAGAGTGTACAATGCAGCGATACGTTCGACCCTACTGTACGGTTGCGGAACCTGGCCTCTTAGATCAACGGACATAGAGGTTAGTTACGTTTGACAACCGGTGCCTTCGCAATTTGGCTCATATCTGATGGGAACATTGTGTGAGCAGTGAGCATGTTTGACGTCTTCTTTACAGTCCAAGAAGAAGTGAACCGCGAAGCACCAGGCTCCAGTGGCTCGGCCACGTGTTGTGCATGCGAGCCGCCCGGCTTCTGCGACATGCATTGTTTGCACGCCAAAGGTGTGGATGGAAGAGGAGGAAAGGCGGCAAAGCGATGAAGTGGTCAAGAGGAAAGAAAACACTTAGTTCGAATTTGGCCTCGGTTGGAACGTCTCGGACTGGGGTCCGAAAGACGAGGTACACGTTTGACTGGATTCACTTGCTGATATGTCTAGGAGCCGATCTCAATGGTGTCTGTGTTGTGAGTTTCTTTTTCTCAGGGAGGAGTTAGGGCTACTGTCAGCTCCTTCTGTACATAAAGGGGAAGACGGTGTTGATTGATGGTCACAGTGTCGGTGAACTTCAGCACGCTGGCATTTTTGTTTCGGTAGACAACCGTAAACTGTGGGTCAGGATCTATTTTATGACCCGTATCGTTTAGGTGTCTAATGATGGATGACACCGCCAGCTTGCCTACTGCTCTTTGTCCGGTTGCTTTCTGTGCTATCAGCCTAGCAGTCTGTTTCAGAATATGATCTCCGATTCGTTTAGTTAAATACTGATCTGTTCTTCTAGTTAAACTGCCTTTGCAGCTGCCGACGAACTGATAAGTGAGTTGTGCCGGAGTTCGATTAGATAGGTTTACTGTAGGTATTAGGAGAACAGCTATTAGACACTCATTTATTTTGAACGAGCTTGATAGCTATTCTTTACTCTTCCTATTTTCTATTTCTTGTCTGTTGTTTAAACGCTCTACTGGGTTAGCCCGATTGGTACATCCACTCCATGGTTAATGGACGCTCATCGTCATGTCCTTCTCAGCAGCGATATTTGCATGAACATATTCTATTGGTTTTTTGTTCTCATCACTGTTCTACTTGGTTATGTTAAAGGAATATTTAGTTGTCACACAATTATTGTACTAGTTTTCAACTTTTGGGTCTGCATCCCTTATTCTCGTTTGTTTCGTGACATTTGTTTAAACGTTTCATTTCATCATTCTGATTGGCCAGTACCCGTCACTGTAAATGGACGTTCGCTTTACGCTTGGAGTCCAATAATGCTATTTTTAAGGACATACGCGATTCGCTCCTGAGTACACGGTTGCTTATCCGCCGTTGCATCTGACGTTTTTCCTTCAGTTGGTTGGCTCAAGTGTACTTTAGTAGCTTCCCTTCATTTTGCCTTCAACTATATAAGCAACTGTGATTCCATGTATACAAGTCTCCTTCTGGCTCGTCTTGGACTTCTTCTTGCGGTCGTTGGGTGAAGGCGTCGGCGGCGACACAACAGTAGGCATCGGAAACTTTTTGGTCGTTTAAACAAGACAGTTAAGCAACGTTAAATGTACGGCGAATAGCTGTATTCGCTTGTCGTTCAAGTTGTGCTTTCACAACTGTACCAACGACACGAGGTCTAAACGTCGTACGAAAACTAAACTAGAAACTACGAACAAATAAACCTAAACTTAACACACGGTCTGGGCAGAAAAATAAAACGAAGTATCCTGTAACCGTGGTTCTATAAGGCATATTAAATACAGTACATGACTTAGGAATAAGTTTTGCAATCGTAGTGCAAGAGGGCATAAATCTTACAGCGTGCGGCGGCGTGCGAGTATTCGGGAAGTGTCACAGTAACATAATAGTATGAATGACCTTGAAACGTCAAAGATATGTCAGTGATCGAGTGAAAGGAATAAATATACGATATGTCAACCGATTATAGGACACCGTAAAGCAATGTAAAATGAGCAGACTAATTAGGGAATAGAGATACCGTGTCCTCATGTAAGCAATCCAGTTTGGGGATACATCAAAGTTCCTTTTGGACTTTATAACAACATTACCTTTGAAAGTTAATTCTCAGTGAACGGACATTTTGGGAACAGTAAGTACCCTTGGTTTGTATTCCCTCGGCTTCCTTTGAAATCCACTGAATGCTTCTGGATATCCACCGGCTCACAATGTCTGTGGGATGAACGACAATTCAGATTCGATACAGTCATCATTACATATCCTACGGGATCGATTAAACAGCGTCTGGATAATGCACCGCTCGTATCGGACCGGGATGCAGCTGTTGAAGTTCTCACACGGTCCATCCGATGTGGACTACCTATAAAACGGAGCGCGTTATCGATCTGTCTCGCCCGGTCAACAATACATCCAATAAAGCCAGACAATTGTTGTCTTCTGGTTCACAGGTGAAACGAGCGCTGGGATGTGCGTCGTTGAGCACTGGGAAGCGACTGCGCGGTCTCGACATTTGGGGAGTCACTAATGTGTCATTCACATGCCGCCTGTTAGTTTGTAGACGATCAGATAACACGAAATGGTGCCATCTTGCAAAGCTCGTCATCCTACTGTCTCTTTCTGACTGATCTGAATGTGTTGTATTGTAAAAGCCAAACTACCGACTGCTGCCATGCGTCCCCGATGCATGTTTTACAATCGCTTCTGCTTAATCGTTACTCTTCATCGTTTGCCCCAACATCTGATTCTGAGCTGGATGTTGGCATCGCGTTATCCACCAATCGCCCTGATATCACGACCTGTGTTTTCGCCTACCTGTTTCCCCATAGCTTTTGCGAACTTCGGCGGATCTCTAATTCCATACTTGACAATTTTCTTAACACTTTGAAATACAAACCAATTGTTTTCACAGTAGCATTTCCTAATTCTCTTCTCGAATGTTGCCCCTCTTTGCCACACCGTCTGTTTCTTGGCTGCCTGTCTATCACGTGATGGGTTCTTAATTTTGTTCAAATGGTACCAACGCAACACTTGTTGAGGGCATCGCTTTACCGACTGTATTGCCACAAAGCAATGGAACAGATGACGCTTTTGCATTTAGGATTGTTGAACATGTATACGCTTACTTCGCCGAGATGGTACGAGTCTTGGGCACGAAACTGGATGCGAACCCGATGCATCTTTACACAGCTGTTGATGTCTGTTTTTGGTTCCCCACTTGTGCGCCCTTATGAAGTAACCTCACATCTTCCTCTCGTTTTCGTTAGGCCCAGTTGACGGAATCCAATGAAACATGGCGACTGGAACAGCTCAAAGCGCTTCACGTGGCCGACGAGACTAGGGCCGAAGTGGAAGAGGATGATATGCTCTATTGCTATGGTACCTACGACCCATCTGCCCAGCATTTGGCCGAGTTGGAGCGTTTGGAACGGATCATTGCGGAAGAGGAGGCTGCGGCGGACCGCTCCGCCAATGCACCACGTACTCGCGGCCGAGGCGACCGCTTCCCCAGACCTACTGGTGGAATCAAACGAGGTCGTGGTCGCGGTCGTGGCCGCGGCGGGCACTCCCAGTGGAGAGCCGACATTCAAGCGGACGATACGTCGACAAATGAAACGGTGCTGAGTGAGCAGGTCGAGCACAAGCGGTCAGCTGTTCGTCCGCGTTATGCTGAGAGCAGCGAGAGTGATCGTGACAGCGATTTAGAGGTGAGATTTGTTTGCGCATATTCAAAGTACTGCGTCTTTGTCTACCGACTTGAACGTCTTGATTAGACTCGTTTTATGTGATACAAGGTGTTTGTAGCCCCGATAACTACCGCTGCGCGACGTCCTATCTAAGCCTCGATAACACAGCGTTACGCTTGACGGCGGTCACCACTTGCGTTTCGTGTCTAGAGGCCTCGGTTACATATTTTAGCAGCCACGATATCAGTGCTTGACTTCTGAAAGTGGCTCATGTGGGTTTCCATTGTTCTTAAAGGTTTACTTGCATGAACAGCGAGAGCCGTTCTCTACTGCGACATTGAGATATGGCCCCTTTGGTCTGATGCTTCTTCAAATCTTCGAATGTAGTCGCTTAATTTTCGAACTGTGCCTCAATTCATATTCTGTCGCATTTCTTTGGTGGCACTGAGAAATTGTACCTCGGTGATAGGGCTGCGTTGCTCTCAACTTAAAGCTCTATCACTAAGGTTCAGTTGTTCAGTGCCATCAATGGAATGCGACAGAATAGTAGTCGCTTAGTCTAGACTGTTCATGTTGGGTGGCGCTAATGTGTCCCCGACTCTGCAGTGCGCAGTGGGGTATTGAGTAGCCGTGGTCAAATCAGTTCGTTAAGCCAGTAGTTGCGTTGACTTGTGCACTTGTTACGTATGCCTGCCCACCGTTTATCGAAGGGCGTTGTTTTGACTACCCGATTTGGGGCGGTTTAATTCCATTCACTTGACAGTGGGGAAAGAAGTCACTGATCATTAGTTTGTCGGTTGTCGGTTCAGCCCTCCATTCGAACTTTATTCCACACGACCTGCCCTGTGCTTGTATCGAAAATCTACAGTAAGGCTGTACTTCCTGTCGTTCTTTGGTCAGGCTGTTTGGAGTCGAATGTCGAGCTGCTTCCAAGTATGAGTATACTTCGAGCAGCGAAAGCCGGCACAGATACCGATGTTGTCGGCTTCTTATTTGGTGTACGCGTCTCAGTCCTGAATACTTGTTCATGGCATTAGGGTTTAACACCCAAATTAATCTCTCCCCACATAATCGCTCGTTTGTGGCCATAAGTACAAGCTACTGATGCATTTGTCTTGATCCTACTAGTGGCACTACCGTGATATCCGACGAGTTATGAAAAGCATCAGCAGTACGCCGGTACGCAGTGCCGACGCTTCGCTGCTGTGCAACAACCACCAGTCGCGCGTAGACTAAGGATACTGCGACGGTCGCCCGGTCCACTCCAAAGGCTGGAACCCGCGCCCTCGCATTACAAGGCAGACTTGTGATCCATTCGGCCACGGGCAGACAAGAGGGTAGCCGGATGTTATTACATCGCTACTTTCAGTGGCCAGTCCACAGCATTTTGATACCCCTTTGACGAGACCATAGCCCTCAGGTATACTTCTGCTTCTAAAAGTGCTACGCATATTCATCTAAACTGATTCTAAGTGTGATTCGAATTCCCCATTAACGCAACAGTCATTAAGAATTCTTGATTCCTGATAACTTTTGCATTTCTCACAATGACACTTGGTCGTAATGTAATGTGGTTGTCCATGTCGTATTGGAAGTAATGCGGGGTGTGTCCGTTATCCAGTGTCATACACTCAGGAGTTGTACACTAGTTAACCCAAAGACGTGTGCCGACGTTTGCGTAGGCTATTACGGTGTTCGTTGTGATAGTTACAGTGGTTTCCTACTCTTCTAAAGGATAATTTTCTATACTGTGGCCAATGGTTGCCTAAGTTCGAAACTTTTCATCGAGTATAGGTGGTCCACCATTTCTATCGAATGCTCTTAATTTGGTAGCTATTAGAAAACGTATTTTATTTTTACCGTCAGCGCTCCCACATTCCGTCACAACACCTCCCAACTGAACGCGACGCACAATTTCGCAAAAATACTCAAGAATGGGAAATCTTCGTATCCTATGAAGATAATGGTAATGATACCGAAACGCAGAAGTGGAGTTTCAGTTCGCGTCCTTCTCACTCCCCACCAGTTTCCCATACACATCGTACCTCAGCACATGTTCCTCGTGGAAAACGTAGAGGCTTACCATCGAGGTTCCTCATCCCCAGAAAGATGCCTAGGGTGTATTGTACTTCTTCTCGCACTCATGGTGAACAAATCGCTCAGCATGCTCCGGTAGCAAGACGTCGAGGTCGACCTCCCAAGCGTCTGACATCGAACCCAATCTTGGGCTCATTCGTACGTTCCAATCACTTTGTTACTACCCCATCCGTTTCACCCAAAAGGCCACTTCCGACCACTTTCGATCGATCATCACCGGAGTCGTCCAAAAAGAGACTTGATCAACGGATAGCGTTTTCTTCCAGAAATACCGCCGTTCATCAAGAGGCTATGCGGCTTTCGAATCCAAGATCTTTCACCTCTGTTGAACTCTCGGATTCGGATGAATCGTCCGTTGTTCAGGCTGGGCGGGGTAAAACTCCAGGACCACTGTCTGCGAGGCCAAACAGGTTTCCACCCGTTAAGACGGCACCTGCAATACGTCCTGTGAATGAGGCGGTAAGTATGATTTCCCATCTTTGCTTTTTTACGTGTGCTGTGTTCACTTGCCCACAAATTGCAATCACGTTAGTGTGCCTTGCGTTCAACTACGGCGGTTCTACCGTTGAACTCGGATCGTTTTCGTCGGCTCGGTCATGCGCTTCGTATGCCTACAAACCGGCTATCTCGGCTTGTATTGTTTACAAATGCTGCGTCTTGCTGGGCGTAACGCCAAGGTGATCAATCGATGGCATAAGAGCAAGAAGTCACTCACTGTAGAGTCTAGCCGAGTTGGTTCTGTTCGGTTTCCCGGATGAGGGCGTAGGGGCCGGCCACCTTGGTAGCTGGACACCTAATCGGATATGGCGCGGTCACAGAGTTAAACTTACTCTTGCATTCGTCCCCGCACTCGGATTATTGGCTATTCTATCTGCTAATTGAAGTTCTAGTTCATCCTCCCGAATTAAGAACTATTATTTTTCATCAAAGCAGAAAGAAGACATGGATTGCGGTATGTCAACATTTCAATCGTACTCATCAGTCGCAAACACAATACAAACGGAACAGATACACAGAATTATATATGAAGCATTTAGCAACACCGATTAACGTGCTTAATTAATACCAAGACACCCGAAATGATCGCCTAAACATTTTCTTTGAACGTAATACGGGTTGATGTACCCTAACGTTTCGCTGATTGCTAACATTATCGGGTTCCTGTTGCGTACTAGCTCCTTGAACGCGGTCTTCATGTTCACACGGTGACGAGTTGTCATGAGGTGCTTGATGACAATGGGGTGCCCCGTTTGTTCCACCTACTTTGGCAAGCGTTCAGCCACCCTCTGAGCCATTTGATGCTTGTGTCACCGTAACTTCAGATTAGCTGATAAATCACATGGGAAGCTAAGCGTTGCTCAAATGGTCATGAAGAGCAGATTTCCGAGTAATGCGCGTGAAACGCAACTGGGCGGTTGCATACGTATGCGTTATGGCGAACCTGAGCTTGTATCCGATAGCGTTTGTAACAGAATCCCACTTGAACGACAGAGCCAGAAAAACAGCTTTTCTCTTCGCTGTGAGCACCGACAATTTCTTTTTGGGGAGCCTGCTGTGGACTGCTTGGATGAATTTTTCGGGATATCTGTTCAGCTTCCAATATTCTCGGGTTGCAAATTCGTCTTGCTCTGTAGAAGATCTTTTTAACTAGACCGCGTTTGTATGCAAACGGGGCGAAGGTGCAAAAATGAAGATGCTGCTCACTCAAAGTCGCCTTGTACTGTAGCGTACCTCCGTCGCTTCTCTTAATGAGGATGTCCAAAAATGACAGACAGTCGTTGTTGTTCTAACTCATGGGGTACCGATAAGTTGTGCAAAAGTGAGCGAACCGAGAAACCCTCAGCGATCGTTAATGGTTGCTAGAGTATATGCAGATAATATACTCAGAGTACGGATGCACATTTCTGTGTGGAAGCGTATAGCATGTATAGTGTGTACACGCATTACCGTGGTACGTGCTGAAATAAGTTCTGAAAAACGCGTAGTGCCCGACCTTCGAAGCCCGACCCTTGGCGGTGACAGCGATTCATCTCAGCAACCCACGCTGCATGTGTGTTCATAAGCTATTCGTTTTTGCTTTGGCTATCAATCGTCCACGCATTCTCCGAACTTCATTTGTCTATTACCCTATTCCAGCTTGTTTTATGTTTGTCTATATAAATGTGTTTTATTTTGCCCTAATGATGGCAGGTTTGCCTTTTGCACCGATTTTTTATCACGTTACGAATGTGGTCATTGAGGTCTAAACCGACTACACCACTTCTTTCATATCCATGATGTGATTCGCTAGGGCTTACATCATGACCTTAGTTGTAAAAGTTTTCGGGTAGAATTCCTAATGTAGTTATACAGTCGCGTTCCTCGATCGATGGTCTAAGCAACTAGTGCTCAAGAATAGAAATAGAGCGGAAAAATCCGGCTTATGGATTATTGCACTTGTCGGTTGACAGCCACACAACAGCCACAGCCGGCATTCTGACTTACCAACGAAAGTTAGCTTATCTCGGAAAAAGTAGGGTGCTGTGTCATTTGTTGGCAATCTTTGCACAGTTCACTTTGATTCTGGTTTGTACGTTACTTTTTCACCCTCAGTGCGAGTGCTCACGGTGTATCAAGTTCCGCAATGTGTTATTTCGTTTCCTTGGCTTCTCTTCCATAGCCGTCGTTCGGGCATATGACCACCTTCGAAACTCGACGCATCAATCCCACCTCGGTGTCAAATTCCCTCCCAAATCCCGTGAAAGTCTTCACTATTAAACCGATCACGACGCCGAGGGCCTCCAATCCTTCAAACCAATCCGGCTTCACTATCCCCAGCAAATCAACGCCTCCACGCAGCACACATCCAACCACAACAACTCCAACGAGCCGTCCTTCAGAACCAGTTATTCCGGTCCAGTCAGTTGGAACAGGCATCCGTACGAGTTTACCTGCCGGTCAACTGTTCACCGCAACTGGGCAACCAGTGTTCGTGATCACCAGAGAGATGAAGACGCCGACAGGTAGGTTTTTGTCCCCCCCCTCATTACTTGTCATTTAGTTAGTTTATTTGTGGTGCTTGCTTGCCTACTTCGGTGCCCTCACCTTAGTGCGTAACCACGGATGGCCCTGTTCAGCGGGCTAACATCGTGCTTTTTGGACGGTAGTGACGTGCAAAGTGGTGGCACGTGTACACAAATTAAATGCATTTGTATTAGGAAACAACTGTGGCCACGCCACTCGTCCTGGTTGCGAGCCATGCCCCGGAATAAGCGTAAGTTGGGCCTATGGGATTGATCAACAACGCGCAGTCACGTCATTAGTGAAATCACTTCCGAACGTCAGGTGCATGGGTGGTGCATGATAAGGATGCAAGGTAGCCCGATGGACGAAGCTGAACCCGAAGACGTTACAGTGGCTAAAAATGCCGAAGCAATAAACCAATGTAATAAGGAAGGTAAAGCAACGTCATTGTCAACCAACCATGTGAGCACCTGTGTTCACGATCAATATTCAAGTGCAGGCGTGACACTCACCTCTTTCTTGGTAAAGATTGCAGACTCCAGATTGATACCGATCAGCTGGCTTATGCGTGCGTTTTGAACGTCTTAATTGAGGTTGCTCAGTGTCCGTTTGCAGCTGCTTATTTTGTGAGGCCGATTTTGCGTCATTTGCAGTCGATCATGTCGGCCGGTAGCCGAGTGGTATGCGCCTCTGGTTTGCAACCATAAGGTCACCGGTTCGAATCCGCGTAGGGGCGGGCGTCCTCACGGTATACTCAGCCCACGCGCGACTGGTGGTGGTCGCGTGGCAGCGAAGCGCCGTTACGGCGTATAGCTGGCGATTTACTTTACAGTGTATCGTTGACTCAGCTCATGTGGTTCGACTGAGCGTGGCCAGACATGGTCAAATTGGCGGCGTTCCACATTGCCGTTCTCCAGTTGTAGCTTCGCTTGATTACTCGTTCAGGACTTGAGTGTAGCAAGTTGCCAGCTTGCTTCGTGAGACAGTCTTGTGTATACCGAATCAAAATCATTGATAGACATTTCCTCTGGCATCTTGTCATCTACTTTGCATCTGCGCTCCTTCGAGGGTTCGGAATAAGGTACAGTCTCGTTGGTACTGGCCAACCAAACACCATCGCCAATGACAACCCTGTCGACTCTGTCGGTGGTATGTGGTGAGAGAACAAGAGACAATCTGGATTAGTTTGCAGAGTTCCATAAGTCTTCTTGTGGAAATCTTCCCTAACAATCCGGATTGTACGTTCTGTCATTCCATTCGACGCGGGATGGTAGGGCGAATATGGCCGAGCCACCTCAGGTGCCTCAGCAGAATTATGCAGTCCACTGCATACATGCCACTTCGTCAGAGCACCTCCGTGTCCGCAACTCGGTCACTCCAGCCGAGGGGGGTAATACGGCGCAGACACTTCTGATGGAAGGGCTCCAACTATCGGACATTTTCCTATAAAGCGTCCAGGTTTCGCCGCTGTATAAAAGAACGGACAGCACCATAGAATTATATACCAGCAGCTTCGTCCCAACAGTGAGCTGGTGGTTGTTCCACCCACGGCATTCCAGCTTGCCAAAAGCAGCAGCCGTCTTCCATACGCGGCTCCGCAGCTCGTACGTCATCTGCTGGTCGGTTGTTATTACGCTACCAATGTAGTAAAATCTCGAAGTGGTTTCCAGCACTTCCTCGGCAATCCGGATTTCGGGCAGGACTACGGACTCCATTCCGGATGAAGGCTGGAAAGGATAAAAAGTCTTGCTTGTGTTGATGGTGAGCCCAAATTTGGCCGCTGTCGAAGCCAGAGCACTAGTCATATGCTGCAACTCATCCGCGCTGTGTGCAAACAACGCACAGTCGTCAGCAAACAGCGACATACGGATAGTTGTCTCACAGACTAGGGTTCTCGCACCGAAACGACGGATGTTCAGCAACCCACCATCAATACGGTGCTCCACACGAATACCGTAAGCACAAGCCGTATCAAAAGCACAAGACATCATGGCATGAAGATAAATATTAAACAGGGTAGGAGCTAAGACAGCCTTGCTTCACACCAAAGACAACTGCAAACGTTTCGTCACCAGTTGAGGTGACATCATCAGTGCATTGTTGAGTAGCGTGTAATAAGTGGCGTAGCATAGGAAAGCCTTCATGAGCTACCAATCTTTGCTTTTATTTCGAATATTCCTGCTGATTGCAATCTCCTTATCTTTTCTTCCACCTTATGGAAAAGTGTATGCGCCCTGAAGAAGCTGGGCTGTTCCCGGCCGAAATTTGATACTAACCTGACATTCGTCTAGTTCTCCTAGATTATCATCAAAAACCTCAGAATATTTGTTGAGCACATCCTCCAAGCGCTGATTAATGAACATGCACTTCACCGTCTAACGTAGCCGGAAGGCGCCTGAGTAAGTTTGGGCAATCATTCGTCACAACGTATATCTGTAAGGTCCGTCTCTCCTCATGAAAAATAAGGTGGACAGTGCACTTTCCCAAGACTGGTATCGGCTGTCCGGTGTGCGTCGTTAAAGTTGATTCACAGGGGGGATAACCTGGGTAAGCTTTTTAACAGATGCAGCACTGATTGTGGTAACCGAGGCGTCGGTCACTCTAACCAACTGACTTTTTAATTCTAATTGCAAAGTGTAAGGCAGATGAATGCTTCAGATGCTCGAGGTTGCATTCCCAATTGTATTAAGCTGGTCAACTTCGTCTAAAGGCTGGACGATTTTCACGGGGTTCTTTGGGAATCGTAATGTCGTAGCTGTGTCAGCTTTAGATTGGCAAACTCAGGCGAATTTTCCGCACTGATGGCACATACTCTGTTTATGATGACATTCCTCGATCGACAAATGCTGATTTCCACATCGGTAACATGTAAAAAGCAATTCGGACCGTCTCGGGATAACACACTTGCTGATAAAAAGCTACTAACTATTTATGGACATTCCCTAGCCGCCAAACAATATTACAGGCTTTCTTCCAACTCATCGTCACCTCATCTTCCGACAACAGTCCTCCACGAACCTGTTCGCTACGGATTTTGGATATCAGACACTGTAGAACCATCGCTACTTCGTGGTTGGTGCTTGCTGAATTCTCACAGTGAAATCAGTGACACTTTCCCCAGGGTTTTAATGCAAAGTCGACGAAAACCGTGCAGTCGTGAGCCCCATAACCCGCTGAGGACTTCTAGCACGCTGTCGCCTACTCACCGACGTGGATGGCATAAAAATGTCTTTGGCCATCATCCCCAGAGATTATCGTAGTAATCTAATTTTGTGGCCCTTTGAGAATGTATTATGTTGCAAAATGGGTAAAAACTTCAAATGACCCAAAAAGTGCGCTCCAGCGGTTCCAGATAACCGGTGTTGGTTTCTCAGAAAGAATACTCCAAAGTAGTGTATGTAGGTGTAACATCGTGGTAATTTAACCCCTTCGGTAGAAAGTTAAGTATGGCCCGTAGCTCGATGGATGAAGCTGAACGCGCAGACGTAGAGTGGGACCGTTTTAATGAAAGTTTTCTATGTTACAGTGACTAGAAATGTTGAAACGGAAAGCCAATGAAACAAGGAGGGTAAAGCAAGGTCATTGTCAACCAATCATGTGAGCACCTGTGTTCAAGACCGCTATTTAAGTGCCGGCGTGACAGTGTCTTCTAGGACAACTCCTCACCTCGGTTTGGACAACCGAATAGTATCACTCCAGGATAATGGATTCCGTAACTACTACTACGTCGCTCACTTCAGCTCTTACGCTCTTCACTGTTGGCGCACCTCCACACCAATTTTACATTCGTCAGTAATTTCTCGGAATCTACTTCCGATACCAGTTTGGTTGTTATCCAAAGTGCCGGCCAGTGGCCTTCCCTCGAACCCGCTCTTCCGGTTGGCAGCCTTCGACGTTCGAACCCTTATGCAGATTGGACAATGGGCTGGCTTAGCGTGCACCATAAAGTTCCTCGCTATCAATGCTTGTTGTCTCTCTGATTAGCGATCAATTTAGTCCACCTGGCTTCACACAGATCTCACTGGGCTGTGCGGACATCTGCATGCGCTTTAGAGGTTACTCAAAACCAAGGCACTGTACGCTGGAAAACAACAGACTAGCTAACTAATCAATATGCGTTCGCAAGTGCTCTACCTCAAGACGTCGAACATCGCTGGAATTTCTTGCGGGAAGCGTTACTTGCTTCTGATCTTTGTATTTATTACGCTCAAGTATTCCATTGCTTTCGATGGCTCTATATTACTTGTACAGACAGTTGCTTCTTCACCGCAGTTGGGCTAAACCAACTTACACTTAAACTGGGTCTTTTTACGCTGGACAAATTTCGTTCCACTTTATTTGGTTTGTTCTGCCTACTTGACTAACCTACTATTAACTGGCCATGTGACTTACGCTAATTGCACCTATCTTCGTTCACTTTCTAGCGTTTGTAGCATTTGTAAGTAACTCGTGGACATTTCTTATTTATCGCGGATTCGTTGCTGACAAACATACTTCATATGCTAATTTAGCGAAGAGTTATGCCACCGCATCTTCATGCATTATTGGATTTATTTTATCTCATCTTGTTTTTTCAAGTAATTGACTGTTGCTTGATATCCCCAGTGTGGCTGCACTTGATGCACATGTTGACAAGTTGCCCACCTGTCTGTTACCCACTACCTCGTCCATACTGGTTCCAGGAGGCAGTTGGTCGTTGCTGGAGGGGACGGGGTGCACGGTCCTTGTGGCCGTGTTAAACTCGAAGAGTGGTTCCATGCACTCAGTGTGGAACGGACTACGGTTCAGCCATCACCTTGTGTGCGCTTGATTCCCCAAATACAGCGTGCTTGTGTTTGCCTGTGAGAGTGTGGGCCGGCTCCGTTGATGAAACGTGGCTCCCATCCACATGTCTGCCGGTCTTATTCTTTCGGGTTTACACTGGATATGGGGTGGGTGGTTGGAGTTGTGGATGGTGCGGCGCAAGCCACCCATGGTCCCTCTGTAGGCGCAGGCGTCCTGTGGCTGGCCACAGTGACGGTCAAATCCGAAACCGGATGCCGCTTACCATATATATATATATATATATATATATATATATATATATATATATATATATATGTATATATATATATATAATATCACGTCTTGCGGTCATAATGAATATCTAGATGGGGCAGGTAAACTGTGCACCCCAGATTCTCATTTAAGCAATCTGATGCCGTCATAAATTCGTACTTCACACATCGGTTTCTTACATGACACGCTGTGAACCACCATTTACTGCATCCGTAAGGACCGCAACAACTGGCTGAACGTCCGACTGCTGTTCTCGCAAACACACAATGTCATTAATCTAAGAGTAATTCTCATTTTAGCTGGTAATATCCAACGCCCTGCTTTGTTTGGTTATGAGGCGATGTAAACCATCGTTTTCATTTCTACTGCATCGTGCTGGGTCAAATTTACCGAAATGATCCGGACATCCACTTCTGTTTCTTCCACACAGGTGAAGTGTACCAACAACGGTTCACACATCCCGTGGTGCCGCCTCCTCAGTTCACTAATGCTGTCCACCGGCTCGCACGACCGACAGGAGCAGTGCAGTCACCGCTGGTATCGGTGGCAAACATCAACTCACCTGGTTGGTCCACAATCCGAGTTTCCCCTGTGCCACCCAGTCCACGTTTCCCAGTTATCAGACTTGCCAGCCCCACCAAAACTGTACAACTCGTACCTTCGATCCAAACTAACACTCCCGTGCGAGCTACGCCGCGGACAGTGGCTAGCTCTCCCATTTTCATGGTCCCGTATAACTCAGCCGGTCAAGCAGGTACCAATATCCCTGTCATTCGAACGATACCCACCATTCGATTGGTGACATCTGATTCTACAGCGACTCAGGGAGCAGCATGCATCCCGAATGGAATCACAGTTACCTCTCATCCCACTCACATCCAGCTCGTCAATATTAGTAACGTTACAACCAATCCCCGTGCCCCCACTTGAACTCGTTCACTGATCAGTTATTTTTGTCCCCATGTCGATATGAGTACGAATAGATTCTCTCCAATTTTTTCTCCATTATCTGCTATTGCACATTCGCTCCTCACCGGTCAACTGAGCCTCGGCAGTCAATTTGTGATGTACATAGCATTCCTCAATGCACCAATGTACAGTTGTCTATTTTTACACTCCAGTCTCGTGTGCTTGACTTATTTCCTGATTGATCTTTGTTCTCAGGATCTCTCAGTTGAACATATTCTACATGGAACTGATTGTCTTCCCAAGTTTCTTCGTTATGCCACACGAACCTGTCGCGAGTACCACTTCAGTGCAACTTACAGCGTCCACGCTCATGTATCTTATAGGGCATCTTGTGCCTGTTCTGGCTTCGTTCTAAAGCGAGATAGCGCTCTATACGTTCAGCTGACGCGCTTTTCGTCTTAACCACGGATCTACATGTATCAGCGACATCAGCCACCAACGGAGTTCAGCAGATTCGCAGAAATCCTACTTTTTATCTGTCAGTTAAGTTCCGTCTCGTGGAAAGGTCTGGATAGGATTCTTTTATGGTGAATTGTGCGACTCGTGGTGTTTCAGACCATGCGACAAAAGCATCAATAGCCCGTCATATGATGCTTCGCTGCGATGCGACAACTAGCAGTTTTGTGCGTGGTTGCTCGCATCTACAATGACTTGTAAATTACTAACCAGACGCCTGTTACTCAGCCACCGGCTGGCAGTACCTCAGGTGACTTGACGCCGAAATTGCTGGTGACCTGATTCGGCGCCCAGTGGTATGCGATGCACCGTGGTTAGATTGCAGACTACTTTGCCATTATCGAGGAATAAACAGATATGCACTTAAGGTTAAAGTTGTCGAACTCGGATTCTTGGTTTAAAGTAAGGTCTGACATATATCTGTCCAACTAGGTGACCTGTTTCTTCAGGCGTCTGGTTTGTCACTAGTCCTATCCTACATACCTGTAAGCGACCCGGCAGTACCTATAGCCTATGATTCCGTAGTAGTGAAGCGTCGGCAGGAAGTGCTCATGCTCATGCCTTTACCATGAGATTTTGGAAAGCACTAGTGGGCCATGCTGGAACAGCGAACGTAAGGTGCTAATTAGTGACAATACAGTTTATCTATTTGTTTTAGCGCAATAACACAGTTGTACAATAATGTTTCATGGTATTCCCATTTCGGACTTCACTTTTTCCAAAACCTGTCGGAAAGCCCAGGTCATTTTGATGCGTTTTCGCTTTCGTTTCTTCTTCGAGGTTCCGGCACAGGTTTTCTTCTTATTGGGAGCAGCCTTTGAAACCTTCTTTTTACAAGACAACGGGTTCGGCGCCTTGAGTGCCTTACGCTTTTTCTGCTTCACCTCTGAGCTGAGACCAAATCTGCTCCTCAAGGCGTTGATGGCTGTGGCCTAAACGAAAGTTGTTTGTATAAAGAAAAGATTACGGTCGTCTAAGTTATCAAGATCGTGGCAAGGCAATGTAGCTTGCTAAAATTGTACTGAAGGGGGTCAGAATTAAAAAAAACCTACAGATGTAAAAATCACAAACCACCAGTGTACATTCAAACGCATCATCTCGCCACAGAATAAAACAGCGAAGTTACCCCACCCAGTACCCGACACTATAATATCCCACTAAATTCGTTACGATGGATGCCCATCGTCCGGGCAGCGCATTTGCTGCCATTCTACGTAACAGTAGAATGTATACAATGAGGAGTGTAGAAGAACATTTATGTCCCATGCCGTTGACGCGTACCGGTGGATAGCCATGATACGCACATAACGCGGGGCCATATTAGGTTGATAATAAAGTTATTGCGATTTTAAATGCACATATCTTGGCTTAAGCGTAACAATTTTATTCGAAATAGAAACCATTTGAACTGATGCACTTTCGCCAACGGGAACCGAGTTTATTTATCCCGGATGGATAAAATTCCGGAGTTCTGGTGGCGATTAAATCGTCGAAGACAATTTCAGCATCTCCACGAGTTTTATAACATTTCTCTCGGAAGAAGTTACTCAGGTGAGACGTCAAGAGAGTATGGTGGGTGTAGCAAAGTTCGAAGCCTGGCTTGTCCAGCTTTACTCGCTACTACAGTGCTACTAGTTCAGATATTACAGTACTTGCTGGGGGGAAGAACGCACAAGTAGGGCGTCTGAGCTCTTCAAAAGCTCAGCTGGGTGGTAATTATGGGCTTAACTCCAAACGGACTGACAACGGCGAGTGTCTGCTGCAACTGTGTGCGGAGCACCAGTTGTTTCTTAGTAGCACTGCTTTTAGACACAGTAAGCGCCGAAGTGCCACTTGGCGTCATCCTGTAGCTGGCCAGCAATGGACCCAAATTGACCACATAGCCATAAGTTACAGGTGGCGTGGTTCCATCCTGGATGGCCGCTCGTACTGGAGTACCTGTGTCGACTCTGATCATGCCTTGGTGCGCTGTCGTTTCTCCATGAACTTTACCGGAAGGCGCACAAAGCGTCTCCCCCGATTGGCAACGGAGAAATTGTCCCAGCCCTCGGTCAGGCAAGCTTATCAAGACGCGTTACATACCGAACTGTCTTGTTCTAATAATACCGAGTTGCAGTGGAATAGGATCTCGGCCGCCATGCACGATGCAGGAGCATCTGCTTGTGGCACTATCAATGGTCACCGCACCAGTCACTGGATATCCGAGAGGTCGGTGAACCTGTTGGAAGCTAGAAGACAACTCCCGGCTGGCTCTGAACACAATGTGACCAGAGGGGCTATTAGGCGTGAACTAAAGCAGAGCCTACACGTGCTGACAAGGAAGCCTGGTGGACCAGTAGGGCTCAAGAAATGGAGGAGGCAGGAGCAGTAGTCAATTACCGCAAGCTCTTCCAGCTAATCCGCACCACTAATCCCAGGAAAACATGCGTCAGTGAGACATTCAGAGACCGCCGCATGGCTCGATAGGCGGAACACTTTCAAGATCAAATTCTTGAAAGATACTTGGAGCCGATCGAGTAGTCAGGAGTTCAGAGGTTTGGAAACAATCGGTTGGTATGGTAGTCTGGTAACATTTCGCTCTTGACAGAAGGGCTTCGTCAGACCAGGTGAAGCATTGTAATTGGGGTGGGATTTTATAGTGAACAGGGGCGATAACCGCGTTACCCGAGACTTGAGTCATGATGTCATTACAGCAACCGTTCGTGATGTCACCTCAGGTGGTTTAAACACAGTGGGAATAGTCCTTTGTGCATCATGACATTGACGGGTAAGCCCATAGTGTTGCCAATGGGAGTCGGTTTGCACTTTCCAATCTGATTCACGCACCGATGCTCGTCAAGCTGGCCGGCCTAAAACCGCCCGCCATGCATTAGGGAATTCTACCCCCTCAATTCTATTCACGCAGTCGTCAGATTTGGCAATTTTCACCGCCTCGGCAATCAACCGCTGAGATGTTGATCGTATGCCCCTCCTAATGACCTCGATGTTTTCGAGGTCTATCTGGGGACCCGTGTCTAATGCATGCACAGCTACGGCAGTCTCTGGTATTCAAACTTGTTTTTTGGTAGTCTTGAAATGCGCCTCCTATGCTCCGAAATTCGTGTGCGTAATTCTCTCGTTGTTTAGCCTATATACACATGTGCACAGTTTTTACATTTAATTTTATGAACACAGTTAGTCGTCCTATCATTGGGAAGGGGGTCCTTCAGGTGTACCAGCGCCGAACGTAACGTTCGACCTCGCTGAAAGATCACCCTTATATTTTTCTTGTTTAGTACTCTCCGAATTGCCTCGGAAGTGCCTTCCTTGTACGGTATTCCGACCGTCCCTATCCACTCGCCTGTGGGTCTTGACTGCCGGTGTGGCACTTTATGCAATTGACGTTTAACTAGTAACCGTGAGTAACCGCCGTAGCTGTGTATGCATTAGACGCGGGTCACCAGATAGACCTCGAAAACATCGAGGTCATTAGGAGGGGCATACGATCAACATCTCAGCGGTTGATTGCCGAGGCGGTGGAAATTGCCAAATCTGACGACTGCATGAATAGAATTGAGGGGGTAGAATTCCCTAATGCATGGCGGGCGGTTTTAGGCCGGCCAGCTTGACGAGCATCGGTGCGTGAATCAGATTGGAAAGTGCAAACCGACTCCCATTGGCAACACTATGGGCTTATCCGTCAATGTCATGACGCACAAAGGAACACCCGGACTATTCCCACTGTGTTTAAACCACCTGAGGTGACATCACGAACGGTTGCTGTAATGACATCATGACTCAAGTCTCGGGTAACGCGGTTATCGCCCCTGTTCACTATAAAATCCCACCCCAATTGCAATGCTTCACCTGGTCTGACGAAGCCCTTGTGTCACGGAAAACTAGTTTACAGATCAAAAGTTCATCTCGGCAGATATGAGAAGCGGGCGCCACCGGCTACATCTGGTAGTGCGAGAGTATACCTGTGCGGAGTGGCTGCCTCAAGCCAGCCAGATGTCTCATACGATGAGACTCACGTGGGATTAGCCATAGGGATATCATATAGTACTGTCAAAAATGCGTCAACCAATTTAGAGCTGTATATGTGATGAGTCTTGAGTGTATCCCTGATGGAATCTAAAGTTACATGCGGAGTAGGCCGTGATCATAGACGATTGCTTCGCTATCGTGCCAGCTGTTTGTCGCGATATGTTGTTAACACAAGGTGTAGGCGCCTAGACCTTGAAAGTTTGTTTAGCGCATTAGGGTTTTTTAGGTAAGTCCCACTTCACTCCATAGGTCATCATGATTGTGTGGCAGCGAAGCAGCACTTCAAGTCACTGATGTTTGTTGTTGTTGTTGTTTAGGCGATTTACTGGATAGACTGTTGTTCCGGTCTGGGTTTCACAGCCAACCTCTCAGGCTCTACTTAAAACCGGTCGTGGCGTGCAGTGTTGAGAGAGCACAGCTCCGAAACCCCACAACCTTTCACTTATTCCACTTTTCTGAGGAGCACAAAGGTAAAACTTTAGAATTCGCGAATAAAATTACTGATCTGGAACGTGTAGCTGGGTGATTTCACTTACCCACGGATGCTAAACTACGTAGACGATCAACCCAAGTTTCAGTGTCTAATGAAATAAGACTTGGGATGACTACTCGGTGGTCAATCTCTGAAAGACATTGAATTCCTGAACGGCATCCGAATTGGAGTTTAAGAATCCCGGTGAATACGGAGGAGCGATAATCGTTTGTGAAAAAGATATCAATGCTATTGTAAACAATTGGGCATCGTTTGGACGCGAGAATCAGGACCGGTGGTCGAACCGTTCAGATGTCTGGATTGTAATCCATGAATCGCCAGTTCGAGTCTAAATATGTGCGGCTAATCTCGCAGCCTCCATAGTCAGCACGCGACTGCTGGCGATCCCAAAGCGTCGGTACAACGTACTAGCGTACCGCTGTTATCTTTATGATAATCAAAAGTTCCCATTAAACCCTTTTTGAAAGCGGCGATTTTTGGAGAAGATGCAAATGTGAAAAATTTCGGAACTAATGTCTGAAAATTACGCCGAATGATCAATAAACAGTTTAGCGACACTGATAGATCTATGTGGCTGAATCACAACAACTGACTGCCTGCCCCAGCGTGGACGGGATCTAACGCAAATTAGTACTCTTGAAGAAGAATGAAGCGCGCCGTATCGATGACTACGATGGTTCATTTGTCGCACTTGTGAAGGATTTTACGTCGTATAATGATCACGTCAAGAAATGTCCTTGGACTAGCGGTGACGAAGCCAATGCAGTCGCGCAACAAGTTGTGATAGCGGCATCAAATATACCAGCAGTAAGTTGCAACCATTAAAAATTACTAACAGACCAGGTATACTGCGAGGTCTGTCGAAGTAGCCCTTTGAAAATAAAAAAACTGGGCAGCGACCCTAAGTCAGTTTTCCAAGAATGCACTGTCATTTTATACTGTACATAGATTTTAATCACTATCCACTGAAACGCACTCCAATGGTGGATTGTTTGGGGCCATCTGCCTGAGTTAATTGGCTCGCACTTTCGAAGTTGTTTGGACCACTTCTGCTTTGACAAGGTTGCGCTTTGTTCCTAATACCCCAACCCCAGCCTTATTCTGGTTGATTCGCTGGTCTATGCGAGAAGCGAGTGGTGCCCGCAGCGTTGATTGGCTTCCCATCCGCTAGTTCTGTTTGTTTCGCTCGGTCGATCAGAAGTCGTTCCACCGTCTGCTAAAGGTCAGTAACGCATGCAGACAACTCGCTTGCTTTTGTCCGGTACCAATAGCGTACCTCACTTACAACACTGCAACCTAAGTCCCCACTGTTCACCCGACTCATGTAGGCGTAGTTAATTTTCGCTTGCGGCGCTGATTGGCTGGTTCGTCCAATGACCGTGCGTCGGTTTCCTCGCGTAGTTTGCCAGCTACCACCACAAAGTTGAACTTCGCGTTAACCCTTCGGCCGACAAGTTGTGACAGAAGTAAGGATGCTCACCGCGGTGTCGTTTACTCCAAGTCGCTCATGGACGTCACTATTTGATGCCTTGGCTCTCCGGAAAACGAAGTTGCAGCGCACCTAAATAGAGAATGAACCGGCGACATAGATCCTCTAACAAAAATGCTTGAAGGATATCGCTAGTTTAGCGACTATCTATCATACTCGCTTTTGTCGATATGCAACTATTCGGACGTTTAAAACAGTTAGTTCCCCTTAGTAACTTGAAAAGCACAATTAGAAGACGAAGTTCGGCAGATGCATGCATTTAGTATCGTCTCATCAGTGCCGGTAACGATAGCCGGTAATTTTATACAACAGTTTGTGGGTGCAGACACACATACAAACAACCGCTTTTTTTTCTCGGTTTGTACGTATGTCTGTACCCACAAACTGTTGTATAACATTACCGGTTATCGTTATCGGCACTGATGAGACGATACGAAATGCATACATTTGCCGAACTTCATCTTCTAGTTGTGCTATCCGGACGTTGCTTACAAATGAGGCATATGTTAGATACATCATTAGTTACTTCAAATTCCTTGTGTTTGAGTCCATGCAAACGTATGTGAGATGCAGTTTTCGGCTTTAGTCATTCAAAATCAAATTAAGTATAGAATGCCGTAGGGTATATTCGCATGAACAAGTGTTCACATGCAATATAAGCAAATGGTTAGTACCAGAGAGTACCGTCAGAGCAGGCCACGGCGTGCTGCTCACATGGTGAGCAGAAGGCAATGTCTCAATTTGGCTGTACTCATGTGGATTTAAAGATGCTGTTGCCTCCATCCTGGTAGGCACCGGTTGCCGATGTTTTTCATAAACAATGATCATATAATATCACTTAACGACATGTTGGGTATATAACAGGAACAGTCGTACGCCAGAAGCCTCGTATCGACGGTCCGTTGTTACGCACCTGCCATTGCTTGCATTCGGGCTGAGATACTGCGAGTTTGCCCACGCGCTCACGCTGTCTCCTACAAGTAGCCAGTGTATCGTTAACCATGTGCTTGAAATCCTCCACCATCGGCCAGTAACAAACGTAAGTTTGAGTCGACATTGGTGCTATTAGAAGCAGTAACACCAGCGACCCAAATGTGTGATTGCAAACTCGCCGAACAGCATTGGGGCATCCCCCAACGCGTTCACAAATGCACTTGAGCAACCCGGGAATGGAAAAGTTGCATGCGTGCGCATCGGAGAGAAGGCAAAGTTGCGAACTGGGGCTAATGTTGTTAGTTATGTTAACAGATGTGATTCACAGTCGATGTACCTACTCCAGAGCAAAGACTTGCGCATAGGAAATCTAAACTTATTTGCAGATAATAGTAGCACAGTTCCTTTGTTTGGAAATTAAACTTTGTAAAGTCGACCTTTTCGCCTTAGAATGCACATAGGAATCGGTAATGACGATTATCAAAATCTAGCGTCCAATAGTCATTAGAAGTGGAAGTAGTTGGAGTTAACTGCATCGGCCGGGGAATTCGTAGTTGTCTGGACTAAGATGACTTTATTGGCCGAGATGTCAAGCGAACTAACACTTAAAAACGTCAATACAACCGAATTTCGGCTGATTTATCATTGGATGCGTAACAGTGATGGATTCAACTATATAACTGGCAATCTCAAGACTAGATTGCCGAAGTGAACAACTGGAAGCCACACTAGTGCAACTGAACACCAACATGGAATACTACCCTAAGTGCGGGTTTTATATGGGGTTATCTTAATAACGAGTACAGTCTGTGATTGCTCCTGGTTAGCAGCCTAAAACAGTACTTAGATGAATCCGCAAAATCGGCGATATGAAGTGTGCTTTAATTCCAAAAAATACTTTCACTTTCAAACGCAACGGAACGATGGGTTAAGTAGCCAAGAAAACACGAGTTGACCCAAGAGGGACAATCAATTGCTATCCACTAATAAGCAAGTATCGTTCTAGTAATGAAAAATATTCACAATCATTGTACAATTGCTCAGAAAGCCGAACTAAGGGTGTTTATCCTACTAAATAGAAATAAACCACATGCCGTTTAAATTTAATGTCAACCTCACTTACTTCGCAGTCGGAGACATATGGGGCTGCGTGGGCTTTCTGTGCAATGAAGTTCGACACCGCTTCAGGGGCAGGCTCCAGATTGAACCGAGAATGTGCTACAAAGAATATTGGCATGCCTGAAACATGTCTAGCGCATGTCTGAAGCTCCTCGTCATTAGTAGCTAGGCCAAAAAGCGTGCTCCGTCCATCCTTAGAGAAGGGTACCTTCCCGCAGCGGCGCACTCGTTTTTTAATGCACCATGAGGCTCCATTTTTAGGATGGAAATCGTGTCTGCAAACGAGTATCTTGAACTGTTTCAAAATACTTAGCACACCAGTGAACAGATCACCAAGCTCCTCACATTCTCTGATTACACAGGTAGAAGTGACGAATTTGACTGGTACTTTGAGGGATATCTCAAATTGCTGAGAAATGTTCAATTTATTCACAAGAGCTAGGCGAGTAAAAGTAGAATCGAGGAATATTTCTAACGGATCGATATCAAGCTGAAAGTGATGAGCGTACAAATCCAAAAGCTTTCTATAACTTTTGAGGCGTTTTATTTTCATTTAGTCGAAGTAGCTCAAAAGCAAGTTCAATTGGAACCGGAGCGATACGGTAATCCCGAAAGTGCTGCTTCTTCTACTAATCGTTGAGCCAGTAGTTGACAGGATGATTTGAAAGATGGATAAACCTAAAACAAAAGCCACATTAGACTTTGGTCAACAAACCATTGAGCACTAGCAGTCCCTGCTGGGACGCTTATGTGAAATAGTGAACGTGACCAAAGATATGGATACACAAAAAAGAAAACTGTAGGCCTAAGAGTCGAGTCGGGTAAGATAAACGAGAGGATTGGTGTTGACACCAAAAAGCAACAGGCTGACGATCAAAGCACTCAACGCTTCATCGCACACGTTGGCTAGAGACAAGATGCACCACAGTTGGTGTACCGTAACACGATACAATTGCATAGATGTAAAGGAAAAAATCAAGAATAAATACAATACAAAATAAGATAAATGATATTGTTTCTATGGTGCATTGGTATTAAGATCGTGGTTGGAGGTGGAACAAACATATAACATGAACGCGATCGAGGTGCGCTCTTCGCCATGTCAAGAAATGATTCCAACCAAGCGCCTTCATCGTCATTCGTACTCCAACCAGGTAGCCGAGAGGCACCAACTTAGGTCATCATTATCATCAATACACGTCAGTTGAGAGTGAGAAACAGTTCAGCTAATGTTCCGCAACATAAAGATAAGGGACTAAAAATTACACCACAAAACATTCAACAAGCAAGTAATATAATATCAAATATAGTAATATTCAATTGCTATGAGAATGCAAATGGAGGGATCTAGAGGAGATGGGAATGGATAAAGAAACTCAGAACACAAACGCCACGAGCCGGCTCTTCGCCACATTAGCAAGTATGTTCAATCAAACGTGTTCATCGTCCTTCAGACCCCAGTCCGGCAGTCGGCATATACCGACCGACACCAAATTCGCAGTGATGGTTTTCAATCCTCTCGACCAAATCATCGCTTGCCCTCCCCTTTTTCTCTTCCGTTCAGACCCCGGGCGCGCAAACGACGCACGATGCGGGAGCCTGTGGGTTGGATTGCGCAACACGTGACCCAACCATTGGAGCCTGGTGCGTGATATAATGGTGTTGAGCGAATCACTCGCTCTTCCTGCAACAAATATACGACGCTGAATACCCTCATTATTCATGTGATATTCCCACTAGAAATGAACTAAGAGGCGAAGGTAACGATGTGTCAAACTACGAAGACACCAGTGGTCAAATGTCGCTAGGCACTTTATGTCTGTCGACCGATGGACCCCGTTTCACAGCCGCATAAGACGGTTGAACGGACGGCTGCATTATAAACTCTGTCCTTCAGAGCGAGTGATGTCGCGTCTGCGCCACAGATGGTGGAGATTGACAAAAGCGCCTCCAGTTTTTGCTATCTGGTTCGTGACTTCATCATTGATTCCACTGGCACTAATAAAGTTGCCCGGCTGGCTTGCCAAACAACCTCCTCGTGGTGCGGGCTAGGTGGTTCGGGTGTACCCCATTCCAGCGAAGTGTTTCGCCGCAGTTTCCATCTAGGTGGGGCATTGTAGTCCAGCAGTTGTGCTGATTTCATGGAAAGGATTGGGCCGCCGGTTGACAACGTACCAAACAAAAGACGTATGAACTGAACATTCAGTGAGAGACTCCCAATGGGCGTGATTCCCTGAATTCGCCCCGTTGCCTTGCGGGTAGGTTATTTAGCCAAAAACTCGGAGTGGTGTCCCCTAAGATAACTCCCTACTTTGGCTTCGGCAAGCGGGTAGTATCACGCCCACTGACAAAACAATGGACTCGGTTTGGTTCATGGTAATTACATTTCAGGCCGCATAGGTAAGCTACCAATCCGGAAAAGCACCAGACGCGCGTTTCGCCCTATTGGGGCCCCTCAATGGTGCACATCTATCGGTCTCCTACTGGGAATCGAACCCAGACACGAAACGTGTGTCTGGTGCTTTTCCGGATTAGTAGACTACCTATGCGACTTAGAATCCAACTGCGATGAATCAAATAGAATCATAGCCAAATCCGTCTACTCAGTAGTATTAGAAACTATGGACTGTTCGTCTGCTACATCGCGCTCAGATGTCTTAACTCCTGCTACCTTCACACCTTATTCCCACGCCACCCGTCCATTTGTTACCGATCACTTATCCGCTACCAGCTGATTCCTATTTCCGTGATTCCACTCCCGATGGTTGCGTTGACACCAACAGGGTTCGTCCAGTAGCTCTCCTTGAGCATCGGTCCTCGTTCCATCCAGCATGCTTCAATGTACGTACACTCATACAGATCGTGCAACAGGCTGGCCTTGCGTGCACCTTGAAATCCCTTATCATCGATGTTTGCTGTCTTTCAGAAACACGCATGCAAGACTCCAGTACTGTATTGGAGTTGGGATCTCCTACCGACCGAGAAGCCATGTTTCACTACATCGATCTGGCGACAAAGGCAGCTGCGGCAGGCTTAGCTGGCATTAGTGTAGCGCTAAGCAGCCAAGCCTAAGCCGCACTTCTGGACTAGTTTCCGATTAATAGCCGACTCTGTGCAGTTCGGATTCGTGGATCATGCAGAATCAACAGATATCGTGAAGAGAAAAGCAACTTGTTTGTGGTCTCGGCTTATGCTCCCACTGACTGCAGTCCCGACTCGGTCAAGGACGATTTCTACCGTGAACTTCACCAGCTCTTGGGCAGAGCTTGCAACTCCGATACTGTTATCCTTGCTGAGGATCCCAACGAATCGGTCGGGAGTCCATTGTCATGCGAAAGTCACCTCGGTGTTCACCATGCACTCGATGAGAGCCGCTCGGATAATGGGGAGAGACTACTTACATTGTACGAATGCAATCGTTTATTTCTGTCGAGCACCAGCTTTCGACATTCGAGGAGACGTCCCGCTAATTGGCGACCCCCTTCTGCGTCCCAATTTTGGTCTCAGATTGACATCGCAATCAGTCTCAAATGGCGTGGTAATGTAAAAGATTGCAAATCAATCTGGTCCACGTTTCTTGACTCAGACCATGCTCTTGTTTGTGCGAATATCTGAATGAGTTCGGAGAGTTCCAAAAATGAATTACTGTAAGATGGGTATAAACAAAGCATCTACTCTCTCACTCCCAATTTAACGAAGCTATCAACCTTCCCTGGTCGATGCACACAGTTGTGACCCTCCGCAAGATATTGATGAACACTAGACGTTCTTGCGGAGGACCATGATCTCTTCCAGGTAGTTAGTCTGTGGTCTTACTCATCACCCATCGAAGGCCTGGATCTCCATGCGATCCTTGGATCTATTTGATGGCCGTAGGAATATCCTTGCGGAGTCCAACCGTTCGGTCAGTCGGCAGCTCAAACGAATCCTACACAGTGATTGTGAGGACTGGTGGTCTCAGCGCAGTTCAGAAATGGAGGCCAGTGTCCTCTCTGGCAATACTCGCAAGCTCTTTCAGCTCATTCGATCCACTGGTCACAAAAGTCTTGACATCAGTGAGATTTGAAAAGCACGGTAAGAAGACGAAAACTGGTAGATGCATGCATTTCATATTGTCTCCTCAGTACCATTAACAATAACCGGTATGCAACTATATACGTAAATATGCGTGTGACCGAATAAGCATGAGGTGAAAAATGAAGGACGGAAGTTCCACCCCTATGTCCACGGCAGTCTTAAGCTAATAAATAATTGCGTACGTGCGGAAATATCCTTCCTTAGGAAATGTATTCTCCTGCGTAGATACCCCCACTCGGTTCTCACACTGCTGCGTAGAAATAAACTCAAACCATCTGTGGCTAACCTCAAACGTATGGCATCCGCTCACTTGGAGACGGCCGAGTCCAAACTTCTGAGTTTACTGGAAACTCACGCACGCCTACTACATGTGGTAGAGGATCTATCTTTGTGTTGTCGTGTTGTGTTCGCTAACTTTTGCAAATCCACTCTCGACTGTACGAGGCGAAATCGGAATACTCGGTTGGAGAACTCGCTTATGAACAGTCAGGATGAGGAGCCAGTCGTTCGTGATCCCAGTAAGTACGTGGTGAATTTATCAGACGCACAACTAGACGCTTTGCAGTTAGAAGCTTTGTCATATGGGCTTGATTACAAAATTCCACCTAGAAGACTGAACGGGTTGTTTATAGAAGCTCAGTTTGAGAACTTTTTTGATCAATTTAAGGAGCTTCAACCATCCAGTCCTGAGGGTGTTGTTTGGTTTAGGAACGAATTGGCCGACATTGCCCACGAAGTTAAGACTGTGCCAGTGATTGAAAAATGCGCACTTACAGGCTGACACCTTCAGGCTCTGCGTGAACTACGTACTAAGAACGTAGTTGTGATGAAACCGGATAAGGGCTCTGGAGTGGTGGTCATGAACAAGGCCGAGTACGCTCAGAAAATGAGTAGCATACTCAACGACACGAGTAAATTTGAACGACTTACTAAGATGGAAAACGTATCCGATGTTGAAGCTAGTATAGCTGCCCATCTTGAAATGCTTCTTCATCATCGCGTGATTGATAGTGACACCTATAATTGTTTAAAGCTAAGTAGAAGCACTACTCCGCAGCTATACGGGTCACCGAAGACGCACAAGAGTGGAGTACCACTTAGGCCGATTCTATCAATGGTAAATGCGCCGCAGCATAAATTGGCTCGCTGGCTAGTGAAGATACTTTCGCCTCTGCGACAACTGTCCAATCCATATAGTCTTAAAGGTTCTTTTCAACTTATCGGTGACTTAGATGACATCAACCTCTCCGATAAGATCATGTGTTCCTTAGATGTGGAATCTCTATTCACCAACGTCCCACTACAACAAACTATTGAATACATATGTGAGCTAGCTGAGCACTCTAGTTATTCGTTACCAATTCCAGTCGAATTTCTAAAGGAATCCTTACTGTTGTGTACAGCAAATGTTGGCTTCCACTTTCAGAACACCCCATATCGTCAAATCGATGGTGTGGCAATGGGTAGCCCACTAGGCCCTGTACTTGCTGATTTCTTCATGCTGATGATAGAAAGAAACATATCCACAGAAATAGCTCAGTTGCCATACTATAAGCGCTATGTTGATGACATATTGGCCTTTTGTTCATCGGAGCAGCAGAT